CATTTTTTTCTCTATCAGACTATATAGAAAGAAAGTTTATTAAAGTCTACTATACGGTATTAAAGTATAACTGCACGTACTTTTGGTATGCCCTAAGTGTATTCTATTTTCTTGTATGTTTACTGATCTTAACCTAAGATATATATCGCAAGGAATCAATTTGCAACTTCAAGGTTTAAACAAAAGAGGTCCTGATTGAGAAAATTACAACGAATGTTCTTAGACTGTTCTATTAATGGTTGATGCATTTAAACAGATTTTCCTGCAATAGTACTATTCCTAGAGACTTTTGGACTGAAGATTCCAAGGTTCTGTAGGATTCCATCGGATTCTATTGGACTCCATTGGATTCTATTCGATTCTATCGGATTCCATTAGACTCTATTGGATTCCATTGGACTCCATTGGATTCTATCGGATTCCATTGGATTCTGTCGAATTCCATTGGATTCTATCGGATTCCATTGGATTCTGTCGAATTCCATTGGATTCTATCGGATTCCATGATTCCGTGTGATTCCGTGTGATTCCGTAAGATTCCACAAGATTCCAGGATTCCGTTTTTTCTCCCTTGCTCTTCATACTAGTCCGCGTTACCTATTGAAAACAGTTTAGACTAGTCAAGTATCCAATACTGTCGGCTAGAATGTTCGAATCCACCTATCGCCTGCGTTCCTTCTAGCTTTTGCCTTCAAGTTGACGCGTCTGGACAGTATGCACATACAAAACGGGCTAGTCATGACAAGATTAGAGCATGTTTTGGACTAGTCTATTTTAGATGCAAGACGTTGCTTGTGAAGACGACTAGTCCTGACTAACTGCAAATCATTTCAGACTAGTCCAAACGACAGTGCAGACATTTTAGACTAGTCCAGATGGGTACTAGGGACAATTTAGACTAGTCATGTCGGGCGTCACCCCTTATTTTTTGCTCGCCTGGGTATCCATGCATATCACCGTACTTTTTATACACTTAAAAGCTCGCCATTGTCAATAAGGCAATCGGTGCCTCTCAGTTTAAAATATCATATTACAAAAAGAAAAAAAGAATAGAGATTGGTCGTTGGATGGAAAAGCTTAACTACATATTCTCTTATTCATCAACCCTTACAATGTCCTCAGTGTTGGATTTAGATAGAAGTATGAAGTGCACATTTGTTCTTCCTAGTCAGACAAAATCGATAAAAATGTCTTCACGCGTTAAAAGGAGCTCTCACTTGATTACTCCTTCCAACACGTTTTCTCTTAATTCCTTCTAGCGAAAAGAATCGACTATCTTAAGCCATTGAATCATAGTGCAATATTTCAATATACTGAAAATAATATAAAAACTAATATGTTTCACAATTTTCCATACATATTTTGCTATGCAATCCAATGATAAAATCGGGAATTTTAAAAAACAGATACCGTCGAATTTAGTTTGAAAATAGTAGCAAGAAATCTATTTCACACTCAGACTTCCATGATGCAACTATTTCTCATCATATCGGTAGTGGCACAAACACTTCCAACAATTTTTATTAATCTCTCAATATAATACATTAGAGAGCCATGAAAGCTTTAGAAGGACTTCGACTTCTACTTTTATAAAAATATTTCTTCTGCAGGAACGGACGGATATTGTACCAAGATGTTTTATGATTTATTTAAAAAAAAATAATCAAAATTAGGCAATAGAGTTCGATATCGGATATTTGATCATCTTTTTGTTTTTCTTTTTTCTCAGTGGATGTTTTTTCCTATTTATGTGCGACATAAAGCACCACAACGATTACATTCACCTAGAAATAAATAATCGAAAAAAAAAGAAACATTCGTCTGCGAAAATATTTGACTAATGCCTCAAAGAGATCAAACTGACTAGACGAATTCAAAGTGAATTATATTCACTTTGAATCCGTCTAGTCTGTTTGAGGCCTATATACCAATGTTATATTTTTTCGTTCAACAAAAGGTCAATTTTTTTCCTCCAATGAGCAGAGTGCTTATGAACAAAGAATCAATAGATAAGTATATATATCGCGTTACGAAAAGCATTTCAACTATATTTAAAGATGAATCAGCATAATTTTCATCTTCTTGATCTACCTAATGAAATATTATTTCTCATTTTGAGAAAACTTGACAATATCGATGTTCTTTACTCTTTATTGGGTATCAACAATCAACGAGTTGAAATTATAGTACAACGACAAATCTTCACTAGCACTCTTAATTTCGCTTCCATATCACAATCAACTGATGAGATTTCTTCAATTTCTGGCTCAATACTCGATCGATTTTGTATTGACATATTACCAAAAATTCATAAAAATGTTAAATCTCTTATTCTTGAACCTGTTTCAATGGACCGCATTCTTCGTGCTGGTAACTATCCTAATCTTTCTGAACTTAAGCTTTTCAATTTCAACAAAGCAATATTTTCACGTTATTTCATGGGTAAGTTATGTTTACTGATCGTTGAAAAGATTAGCATACCAAAAAATTTAGATGTTCAGATTAAATGATATGTATTTTGTTTAGACGATACTCTCTTCGGAAATATTTCTAAAGAACAAATTACGGATCTCATTCTTATCATTAAAGACAACAAAAGTGGAATAGCAATAGAAGAATATACCAAGAATGTTTATGCAGTAATCTTGGCTTTCTTTAAAAATTTACAGCATCTGACTATTGTTGTATCATCATCTATCGACAATTATCCACGTTTATCGTTGCGTAATTTACCACCAATGACTTTTTCCTCTTCGACACTTACTAAATTGCACATCAATGTAAATGATTTTAATGATGTTCGTGCTTTACTTGATGGTCGTCTCAAACAATTAACTACATTCATCGTTCAAGTTGAATATATCAGCGATTGGATATCAACCTCTCACAACAGGGTGAGTTTGTGATCCATGTTATTATCATTTTCTAACTAATATCGAAGATAAAATAAAGTTTAAGTAGAAGTGAAATAAACAATGAGATTTCGACATCAGTAAATATCATGTTTCAATTTTGATTATTAGGAAATAACTAGAATTAGGTTTCGATGTTATTCGAGATTATTTTGTAAATAATCATTACTCATTTGAAAATAGTTAATCAATCATTGTGATTGTTAAATGACCTGATAGAAAAAATTGTTTCATATCTTAAGAATTATGTTGGAGTGGTCTATGTTACCACAAATTAAACAGCTGTTTCCAACATGAATATTAATCAACCGAGTTTTCTTTTAAGCTTCATTGACTTATACTGTTGAAATGAGCATACTTATTTAAAAGAACTATTAATTTTCTTTGAAGATCTATATAATGAATCTTATGGAATGCTTTGAAATATCTTAAGATAACTGATTCTTATATAATATTTGATGGTTCTGTTGAATTGTTCACTAGTTTCTATGTGTGAGAACGTAACAAATATAAGGTAATCATTATTACTAGAGAATACGTATCTTTCATAGAATACGATAAACATTTAAAAAGAATTTTTTGAAAATGACTAATATCTATCTATTAATGGTTGATGTGAATTGATTTTTTAGCTCAACTGATAAAGACGAATTTACAAATATTTCCTATTTTTCAGAATGATCTACCTTATTTAAAATGTTTTTCATTAACATGTTATCATGGTACTCGAGAATACGACAATCTAATTGTACGTCTTCTTCGTCGAATGACAAATCTCGAAGAATTAACTTTATATCTTCATATCTTTGGTGGATCCACATTCATTGCTGGTACTGATCTTGAAAATGAAATTCTTACTTATATGCCGCGACTTCATACATTCACATTTTATATCACTTCTGAAAATGTCATTGCTGATCCAACTGTTCATATATCTGATGATGATATTAAACGAACTTTTACAAATATAAAACATGGACAAATGGCTTGCATGGTGGATTATTTCATCCCTATGAAAATCATATGTCGCGTCTTTTCACTTCCATTTAAATTCCATGTTCTCGAACGCATCACAAATAATATTCCAAATATTGTATTTAATTCTGTTACTGATTTGAAATTGTATGACAAAGATCCATTCAAACATGAATTTTTCGTTCGACTCTCTCGAGCTTTTCCATTTCTTAAAAATTTATCTATTAGGAATATTCTACCACCATTTTGGAGATTCCACGAATTTCATCTTCTTGATAAAGACTGGTGCTCACTTGTTGAATATCCTCATCTTATTTCACTTGACATGAAGGAAGCAGACATTTATTATGTTGAACATTTTCTCAATGAAACAAAAACATATTTACCTCGTTTAACTAAATTGAAGATCGATTATCAAGAGTTGAAAATGGTAACAAAAAACTTTACAAGAGATGAAACGCGAAGTAATTGTGCTAGAGTGAAACAATTAAATGGTCAAGGTTTAATAGTTTATCCGAAAAAAGTTTATTGTTATTTTTCTTTATTATCTGTTTAATTTTGTTTTGATATTATTTAAATAAAAATCTCTGGTAAACTATAATTTTTCTTACAAAGTCAGGTATAGCGTGGAAAATGTGAGTCGTCTACGAAGACAGAATCTGCTATAGAAACTGAGTTGTGAAAAACAATTCCTAATATAATCTTATGTGTTTATGTTGCATTACGATCGAGAAGTAAAATTATATATATGCTATATTAGTATGGAAAAGTAATTGATTATTTATTGTTGAATGGTCAATGACATCATCAGCTAGTTTTAATGATGATGATTTATGGAGATATTCTCAAGCACAACTTGCTCTATGGAGATAAACAGAGATTTTCATTCTAAAAATATAATATTTAATTTAATGAGTTTTTTAAAGAAAGACCTTAAGTATATAACTATATATTCTTTATAACTACCATTTTTGGTTCCAGTTCTATGATGGCCTCGAAACAAAATCAAAAAATATGGTTGGTTATAATTAGTTTGAATTTCAAACTAATTATAACCAATCATATTTTTTGATCTTGTTTCGGTTGCGGCTAAAATTTACGACCTTTTATTTTATTATTATCATCCAACACTTATTCACATCGCTTGTCGTTTCGAATAAACTTCAATATGATGGATATGTCATTAGAAAGATATGAAGTTATGAATTACTATTGGGTAAAAATATCATTAAATATTTGATATTTAATAAAATATTTTTTTAGGTTAGGAAAACCGTTAGGAAATTGATTCATATTCGTAGACGTCTCTTAGTTTTTGAACATTATCGAAATTATATGATTTATCGACTTTCTTTAATTCAAACAGATGCTGAACGAATTACATGTCAAGAACAAATCGATCGATCAACTAATTTTATTGTTTATTCTGTCGATCAATTATGGACTGGTCTTGAATTATTACAAGAATTACATTTAGAATATCGTATGGATAGTAAAAATATTCTAATTTTGTTTATTGTTTTCTTTTGTAGAACGAGTTATGTGATGATGCTACAAAGATGAACAATATCTTTTATTATCTCGTCAATGTCATATGTCTCTCTATGTTTTTTTTGTTTGATTAAAGATGATTTTTATTGTTTCATTAAATATGATTATTTTTTTGTTTGATTAAAGATGATTTTTTTTTGTTTGATTAAAGATGATTTTTTTTTGTTTGATTAAAGATGATTTTTTTTTGTTTGATTAAAGATGATTTTTTTAATGCTGTGATTTAGCTTAGATTGAAATAAAAATGTTGATTATATTTCATATAAACGCTTTTATTACAATGTCTAAAAATCAATTCTTGAACTTTTTCGTCACTTTAATTCTCAACGATATGCTGATATATTATCCTTGAAAATGTATTTTCAGCTACTGTGAAATTGGAAAATATATTTGAAATGTGTACATCTCAATATCGAATTTTGTTTTTATTCAATTGATTTTTAATTCGATTATTTTTCAAAAAAAACATTCTAGTTAATAATGCTGATGACGATGAATGTAAACTATTCTTTTTGTTTCAACATTTGTATTTTTTTTTCTAATTTCCAATGAGTTGATAGCTTCTTTCCAACATTGCTCAGTTTGAGGATCATCTAATGCTTTTTTTACAATCATCTGATTTGACAAATTTGCGAATATTATAAATAATGTTATCTGAACGTTTTTCTTCATAAGTTTAAAGATATTTATTAATAATATTATTTGATTGTGGATGAGTTTTTTTAAATAAATTGATTTGTTCTGCTGTTGATTCGTCACTTATATCAAGATTTGCACAAAGTATTTACAGAAGAATATCCGAATTTATTAAATGTGGAGTCATCTGAGATAGAAGATCAATCACTTTATTCACTGGTCCTTCTTTTGTTAAACCTTGTATATATTCATTATTTAATAAGTTACTAAAAAATGATTTTCCATCATTTATATCAGCTTTGCTGATCAACGATTTCAATATTTCTTCAAAGGGATTGGATTTTCTTGACAATAATAATAGATTAAATAAAAACAACAAAACAAAAATTACGAATGAGAAATAATAAATTATCTGACAACCATTAGGAGATTTGAATAAATATATCACTTCAAGTATAGGCACATTCCCTAAATAAATTTCATATTGACATAAAAAATCAGAGAAAGATTTTCTCAGAATTATTTTCAATTAATTCCGTTGGTTACGTAAATAGTTATCGGAACCTTTTCTTTTCAATTATTGGATTCATGTTAGATATGTCAGCCGGCTCTGCTGGCAAATAATACGTTCAACTAAAAACGGAGAAAGCCATATGTTTCGTTGATACTTTCTTTACTATTGAATAATACACAGATTTATATTAAAATTTGTAAACGACAAGGTCTACAAGTTGTTGAACGTATTCAAGAGAACTTTTAAGTAAAATAATCATAAAATCGATTACTTTCAATTCATGCTTTCATTTTATTGAAATGAACAAAAAAATCTCAGTTAATTCTCCTTTTCATATATTCTATTGCAAAAAATCAGGTTGATATTAGAACAAATATCCAACCCGAATATTGCAAAAGAAAAGACTCATTCATTTAAGCTGCTATTATCAGCAAGAAATTATGCCAGAAACAACAGATATTCTGTATCTATTGACGAGACTAGATGATAATAATCATGAAAATATATTTGAGACAATGTAAAGAGGCATATGTTAATTCAATTTGTCCGACGAGTGCTTGAGGTGATTCAAGAATATAAATCCTAATATGAGGATGTAGCTCATATAGCAGAGCGCCTGCTTAGCATGCGAGAGGTATTGGGATCGATGCTAGCTACTGTTGAAAGATCAGAAAACCCTTCTTCTTACAAAAATTTTCATCAAAACGTCATATCTGCATTATAACAAGACTATTCTTCCAACTTCTCCAGTAATTACTTTTTTTTACTCGAAAATATCCGTTGAAGAATTGAGAAATCATTAATCAGTTTAAATCTTCGATCTTCGAAAATAGTTTTTGACATAATAACATTTAAAACAAAAGATTTTCTTTTAACAAAAGGTGATGAATACTGTATTCTACATGAATTTCGAAATAAACCGCGTTTTTAATCAACAATATAAAAAGGTGACGAGTCAATTTTGAAACTAAACTTGAACTCATGATTCAATTAAATCGAGTCTCATTACTAATGCTTCTCTCATATAAACATCTGGATAATGATCTTTACAAATAAAAAAGTAAAAAATTTTATTAAAAAACAAAAAGAGAAAAAATGAAACCATCTTGAAATGATCTCTCTAATTGATTAATTGATATAGTTGTAAAATTAGTTCTTGTTCGTTTTCGGTTACTATTCCGACCACTACTATTTTCATCTTCACTTAAGTTTGATCGTTAACAAAAAAAAAATTTCTTAATTAATAAAGTTAATGAAATAAAACCTTGGTCATGTTCATCAATTGAATTATTTTTTATTGTTAATGGTGGCGAAAATGATGATGATAAATGAATTGGTAATGATCATTCATTTTGAATTGATAAACAAAGTGAATTTAGTGTTGTTGGAATTAATGATTGAAAAAGTAATGAATATTAAAAATGATTTCGTAATGCATTAGAATAAAATTGTGAATTATAAAATTTATTTGAATGAGAATTATTTATAAATATTGATGAAGAAGTATTTCTATTAAATAGACTTGTAGACATTGACATTTTTTTCAATTATTCAAATGCAAATTAACTATTAACGATACAAAATAAACCGTTAAGATATCGTTGCAAAGAAAAAACGATTAATAAAATACATATTATCGTAGTTTTTTTCCGACTTATTCAGAGAAAAAAGAGAAAAAAATTGATTCATATTAACCTATTAGAATTCATTCGTTTTACTCATTGATTGGTTATTTTTTTATTAACGATATGATGAGAAACAACAGGAGAAAAAGATTATTTTTTTTTGCCTTGACAATCGACATACAACTGCGGGTAAAGACAAGCAAGAAAGAGAATGAAACTCATACTTCAATCTATTGTATTAATATATTGTTAAATGCGCGACACATTTTTTTTTTGCATCGAAGATGAAAATGTCAAATGGATAACGAAGTTTGTATTTAACAAAAGATGAAACGACAATGAAAAAGCACGAATTTTTTCTTTTCGCATTAGTGAATTGATATTCAAAACATTTCTAGTGCAAAGCTGACATGTGTTTTCCGTTCTCATGCCTGGCCATCTCTTTACTACCGTTCTAGCATGATACTGATGCATATAGTTGCAGAACCTGCTAGAAGTTCTAAAAGTTTCCCTCTATGACAATTCCAATAAATTTTCTTACATATAAATTTGTCGTTCGGTTCTTTAGAAAAAAGGAATAGAATATTTTATTGTGAAATCTGAAGGTGAAATAGTTGGCATAAGAAATTTTGCGATATATGAAAAAAAAATAAAGCGACCAAAAACTGATTTTCTCATATAGAGTACGATGGCGTAAAAAGGCACACGATTTTGAAATTTTGACTTTCGAAGCTTATATCTCTTTTAATTTTGAAGATACAAAAAAACTTGTGGTACAAACATTGTAGAAAAAACATTTTTCTATCGATCTGTGTTTTTTGTTTTCAAAAATCTCATCGGGTTACGTTTCCACGATAGTCTTCGTGCGACCTACTCGTCACGGTGCCGTATTACCCCATTTGGGGTAAAATTGCACTTAATGTATATGTGCGGGGTAATTAGGCACTTCTTACAAATTTCAATGTATCTTTATATTACGACTAAAATCTAAGTTTTGAAGTCATTTCTTGACGGATTTTGTTCGGACTTGTGTCATTCGATAGAGGAAACATTCGTGTACAACTTTATGCAAATTTCATCTTTAGAGTTTTATTTCTTTCCGT